TTCCACTAGCCTAAAATGTAAGGGTGCTTATGAAAATCAATATGATCATTCATCAAGATATCTAGCGGCATCTCTGTGGAGAGGAGGGGTCCATACAGCCAGATAATTAAATTAGGAGACTATTCACCAAGAAAGACCTATTGCTTACAAAATATGCATGTGATTGGTGTTCACATGGAAGTCACAATTCCAGCAGCCAGAAACTTTTTTAGCACTAAAATACAAGGGCAGTTTTACTGCTGAGTGTTGACTCGTGGGTGCAGAGCCTGCAGGGCAGTGTGGGAAATTCCTGGGATTCTCTGAATTACTGCTTGTCCACCCATGCCGTGAATCTTCCATCTGCAGTGGAAGAAAGACTAAGGAGATATCCTGGTACCATAAGGGAGGCAAGATTATCCCAGCAGCCATGGAACTAGAACTTCCAGATCTGACGTGCTTGGAGCATGGACACTCAGGGTTAGAGTATATGTGGCTAAGTAGGGGTTTCTGGATGGGGAAAGAAGCAAGACACAGAAGAGACATTAAGGTCTATTGGGTTGTCAAGTTTGGGTGAGGCACCCAGTTATACAACTCTCTGGATCCAAAAATTTGTCCTCAGGCAAAGAATCAGAATAGCCAAGTGTCTGACAGATCAACAAAATGGGTTTCTCAAAAATAACTGGTTGCATTTTTCCAAACAACAACAAAATTATATTGTAACATACAAAACCAAATGGGTTGCTGGCACTCATATTTTATGTTTACTAATTAGCTTATTTTCAAGCTTAATTTTGTCGTGTGGAAATCAGGTATCTGAAAATATGGTTTCCTATCTCTTTATAAAGACTGCATCTCCCCGTATAGATATGGCTGGTTGTGGGGTACTGGTCACAGACTTGGAATTCATTTTAATGGCTATTTCCAGTGGGTAACCAACCCGGAACCAAAAACACCCATACTGCTTAGCCTTTAACTGCTGAGCAATCCCTCCAGCCCTCCATACTACTTTTTTAAAAAACATAACATTTTATTGACTATTGATTTTTGAGAGTTTCATATCATGCACCCCTATCACACACATGTCCCAGTCCCTCCAAATCCACCTCACACTGTGACCTCCCCACCAAAAGAGAAAAAAAATACATGTCCAATTTGTGTTGCCCATATAGCCCATGGAACATGGTCAAACTCCCAGTGGCCAGCCTCTTAAAGGGAACTGAGTCCTTCCCCACCACACTCCCACCCGACCGGAAGCTGTCAGCTGTGGAGAGCTGCACTTAAGAGTCCTTATCACAATTTTTAAAAGTTCTTTTTGATGGCTTTCTGTCTAGGCTGCTACTTCTATGGAAGGCTGGGGGTGAGGGGCACAAGTTGTCACAGAAGCCTTCAGTGTCCTTTCCTCACAGAGAGGCTGCAGTCATCAGTGCTGCTTCAAGAGTAGCTTCCTTGCCCTTTACAGTCAGTGGGAGTATGGAACATGGGCTCGCACATGGTTTCTGGTGATAGTACAGGCCACAGACACCATCACAGCCCTCATCAGTAGCAAATGCCAAGGGACAGTAACATGGCCTCCAGGGTAACACAGGCCATAGACACCAATATGGTCCTCAGAAGCAGCCTGGTCCACAGACATCAACATGACTTCAGGCCACAGTATAGACCACGGCCTTTGGTGGTAATGTGGACCATAGACATCAGCACAACCCCTGGCTGCCACAGGATCATGGACCCCACCGTGGCTCTCTGCAGCAGCACAGACTGTTGGGGACCAGCTCACTGAATCTACTTCTTACCCCAGGACACATTCCAAAACTCAGGCGCCTTCCCACAAATGGCCTGGTGCCACAGAGATAACCTGGCTTAATAATGAGTAACACCTACACTCCCTGGTGAGATCTCCTGCTCTCTCGCATATCAAATGCTCCCTGCCTCACTTCCCAGCTTCTCTAACAACCTCCGCCCCATGGCCAATGCAACATTCCCCTATTTAAGCCTGTACAGAATTCTCATTAAACGGCAGCTTGATTGGAAGGTCTGTCTTGGTGTCCATCTTCTCATGTGTCTTTTGTCTCATTCATTCCAGGTTCCTGTGGGCTCGAACCTGTTGTGCCCTGCTGGCCAGGGCACAGACATCTATCAATATGGCCTTAGGTGGCAATGCAGGCCACTCCCATCAACATGACCCCTGTGGCAGCATCATGGTGCTTTTTGAAAAAAGAAATTCTGGTGTTTAGGTCAGGAAAAGACACAAGTATGCTTTCCTACATCATTACTTAGTTACAACTGTGGTTATATTTTCAGTTGTCCATCTTCCTTTTTTGATGTTCAAAGTAATTTCACATCCCCACAGATCATCTTATATTCAGAGGCATTCCCACTGTCCCACAGTGAATATAACTGTGCTTTGACCTTCGGAATGAAAAGTCAAGGTCACAGCTCATGGCCTGCATTACCCAGATGTCCTCTTTCTCCTCCATATGGACAAATTCAATTCAATCATGACCCACAGCATTCTAAATAGATGTCTTATGTTAGAAGTAACTCCATAAAGGGGGAAAGTGGGGGGGAAGTAATATCAGAATCCATTTTGGTTTTAGATATACATATAATTATTCATTTAGGAACCAGAATGTAAAACCAAATTCATCTAAAGACTGCCAGCATTTTATTCCATAGGCTGACCTTTCTGTTTATCCAATAGGCTCACTTGAAGACTGCTGTAGTCCATGCTAAATGATTAATTCTCTGTACTGTGTCAATCCCAGTACAGCCTCCTGAGAAGTATTTATAACAGAAAGGAATGGAGTAGAAGGGGAAGGGAGGGGAGGGGAGGAGAGAACCTTCTGGAATGGATAGGAGACTTCTAAAGAGTTTAGAGAGGAATTGCTCTCAGACGGTGGAGATGAACAGGAGTGGAAATAGGAAATGCAAAGTGAAATTGGGGAGCAGCACAGGGCACCAAGTGCAGGCTTGGCTATTGTTTCTTGAGCCCTTACTGAACTGGATGGGAGCAGAGAGATTTGGAGAAGCCCGGGGCTTGGGATAATGCAGAATTAAGGCAGGAATCTACAAAATGACCTTTGAAAGTAAATCACTTTCCGTAAGAGAGAACATGAGAGGATTATTTCATTTATTCCTGTTCATCTGCTCCAGAGACATGGAGAAAGGGCAGGTAAAACAGATTCTAAAACTCCAGGGAGTGGAGCTAATTGAATCTGAGGCAAATTTTATTTGCATAGTCCTCATTTAAGCTATTTAGCATTGGTAACACATGGACTTGGCTCGCCAGTGATAGGCCTACGGAGACAGGACAGTGACCTTCAGCCCAGGCATGGAGATGTAAGCACCATGAATTACAGTCCAGTCCCTGTTTTCTGGAAGTGAGCCCAAGTCTCAATACCAGAAGGCACCTAGGTCTGGATCATGCAAGACGCGTACGAATGGGTTATATTTTCGCTTATCTGTTTAAAAGAAAGAGGCCCTGAGGTGCCTCAACATTTCTTGCAATTCTTCTCATTTTTCTATAAAATAAATAAAAACTACTACTGACTTTAAACAATCAGCTTTGGATCGCTAGGTGCTCTGAGGTTACCCGTGTGCATCTGGCATACTACTGGGGCAGTGTGCACCCTTTGCAAAGACATCTGGGATTGAAGACGTTCTTCTAATGTCTGTGGCAGAACAAGGGTGTGTTTGGGTTGACATTTGTACAAATCCCTTTTTTTTCTGGATACGTTAAAATTATACGTGTTTGCTGGGCAGAGGCAGAAGAAGGCAGATCTCTGTGAGTTCCAGGACAGCCAAAGCTACACAGAGAAACCCTGTCTCGAAAAAAAAAAATTACACGTGGTTAATAGGAATGAAAAGGCTGTGCTTGTGTTCTCACGGCCCTCTATGCTTCCAGACTGTAGCCTGGCTTTTCCTGAGAGAACAGGTAGATAGCCACGCCTATATGAACAGAAAAATGAGTTGCAGGCACCCTGGCTCTCAGCTCCTAGCTTTCCTCACTGGAGCCCAGGTTCTGTGAGCACAGACCTAGTGCTATGGTACTGAGTCTGCCTGGACTTAAAGTGTCCTCCGGGGACCTTCTAGTGTCTGATGGAGCTGCTGATTATTGGCATCATCCGCTGCTGCTGAGCCCAGGCCCTAGTCATTCTATCTACATTCACTGCACATGGGGCAGATATTGTTATAAGCAAAAGGGACTTTCCAGGTGATTGAGATCTGGTAGAACTCAGGTGTAGACCCATTTGAATGGACGCCTCACCAAGCATGGTCATAAGACACAAGTTACTGGTGCCAGCTATTAGTCTTTTATAGGTGATCCATTTGCAGAGATAAGGCCTGGGTCTCCACTTAGGATGCTCTGTTGTCAGATTATTCATCCCGAGTCCAGCAGCACTTCTAACGGGCACACCAGGAAGGGTGCCATTTTGGATCAGAGTGACCTTGTTGGCAGCTGTAGTTGCTTAGGACCTACAATTGCTAGTTCCTGATATTCAGTCCCACAACAGTGTCTTCCAATCAGGGTGGTGTCACGTGGAAGCAGAAGCAATGCTGGACAGAGCATTTGGGAGGCTTTCCTTGTGGCTTTAGTGGCAGGAACACCAAAGCCCTTAAGAATTAGGAGACTGGGGCTGGAGAGATGGCTCAGAGGTTAAGAGCACTGGCTGCTCTGGCAGAGGCCCTGAGTTCAATTGCAAGCAACCACAGGGTGGCTCACAACCATCTGTAATGAGATCTGGTGCCCTCTTCTGGCCTGCAGGAATATATGCAGGCAGAACACTGTATCTACAATGAATAAATAAATCGAAGAAAGAAGGAGGAGGAGGAGGAGGAGGAGGAGAAGAGGCCTTCCGCTTGCCCACTTTGGGATCTCCTGCCCTGGGGACTTCAGGCAGGTTGACTACCCTCAGTGGATCAATGCCCCAGCTAGCAGGGCACAACAGGTTCGAGCCCAAGGGAACCTGGAATGAACGAGACAAGAGACAAAGGGGAGATGGACAGCAAGACAACATGGCTGATCAAGCTGCCCTTTAATGAAAGCTCTGTACAGGCTTAAATAGGGGAAGGTGGCATTGGCCCCAGGGCAGAGGTTATTAGACCAGAGATGCTGGGAAGTGAGACAGGGGTCTGTTAGGAGTAGGAAGCAAGTGAGTGTTTGATATGCGAGACAGCAGGAGATCTCACCAGGGAGGGTAGGTATTAGGGAGGCATTGTTAAGTGATAGGTTATCTCTTGCAACTTTCCTTTGTTGCTAGATAAGGGATCACCTAACTGGTTCTCTAGGTGATTCTGATGCCAGGGCCAGAGTACTAAGGGACAAGGCCAAGGTTGCTGTGCAGGGCTTCCTTTTGAGATACCTACTACCTAGCATATTAGTAGAAGATGCTAGAAGACAGCCTCCTCCACCACAGCCCTCCATGACCTCTTCAAAGACACGTAGACTGAGTCTCAGATCCCAGAGTCTAAAGTGGTGCCTCTCAAGCTTTGATGTAGCACACCCTGCTCATTCAACAAAACAGACGACGACAGGGTGTACAATCAATAAAGACTCCTTTAAATATTCTCAGTACTTCAGAAAGTTTCTCAAGGCTGGAATTACCTTTAGACTTTAGAAGCACAGGAGAGAGTCTGTCTTATCGAGGGTCAGGATACCCAGTGGATACAGTTCAGATTGGAGGTGATAATTTACCACTGGTCATCTGAGGGCAGGATGAGGCTCTGAGTAGCACATCCTTTGCAAGAACACTTCCAGAAGTTAATTACTTCTCCGAGCAAAGCCTTACTAGAGGATATATGTTTTGTATGTTGGGTGATCGAAAAACAATGCTAAGAGGCTCTGCCCAGCTTTTTACCAGAAGCATGAAAGACATAAAGACCAAAAGTCAGCTTGGAATCTCTATTTGCTGGTCATCAAGAGAATGAATGATTGAAGACTCCTCCTCAACGTACAGAAATACATACGTAAGATCATTGGCATGGTGGCCAGGGACTGATTGTTGATGGTGGGATGGCATGGCAATGAAGGTCAGTCCACTCAGGCCCACCCTGGTATAATTCTTTGTCCTGAGTGATTCAGAAACCTCCTGCAGTTCATAGACTTCTCCCCCACTGGTGGAGAAATGAGCTAAGTAAAAGCCCAGTAAAGAAACAATACCATGTTCCCTGAAGGTGGAGGACCACAGCTGTCAGTCTGTGACAAAGCATCATTCATCAGTGTAAATGTTCATTCTGGAATTCTCAGGAAAAGGAGGGTATATTCCACGTATCTCCTTTCCCAAAGGGAGCTTCTGTAAAGATCTACAGTGATGCCTGTTACTGCAAATAATGATGTGTTTCCTTTCCTGTTGCCCATGAGCATCTAAGAAACCAAGATGGCCTTCTTCCAAGAGAGGAGTGGTGGTAAGAGTCACACATTGCCATTTTGTTTCTAATTACACATCTTGTAAGGGAGACAGTAAGAGCTGGCGAAGCACCTCTTCACATGGCTTTACCTTGGTGTGAAGGCAGATGGCAGGGGGGATGTAAATGGCATCATCCTATCCACAGTACCAGTTCCAGAGCATGCTGAATAATGCCATTGCACGCAGCGACACAGGGCTAATTGCCAGCGGGTAATGAGTTCTGCAAAAATTGGAAGCAATTTTAGCACAGTGACGCTTTGCAACATGAAATTTATAACTTGATATAAAGGAGCATAGAGCAAGCTCGCCTGAAGGAAGCTTGCGTAAGCATGCACACCCAGGGTTGCAATGGGCCCCATGTGTGGTGAACATTAAAAAATTAATGAGGTATCACCAAAGCAGATCCCACAAGTGCTTATGTATTTCTGAGACAATCAGATTAGTCGTAGTGGATGTTCTCATTCTTTCATGGTGCTGTCACTTAATGAAGTGATCAATCTAAATCAGAGGTCCCTGAGTCTTTACAATGTAAGACCAGGGGGGGTCCTGGGACAAACCAAACATTTCCTTCTTGCACATTGTGGGCTCAGGGAGGGAGAGGGCAGCATCTTGTTTTCTGGAGACAAGAGAAGGGCTGTGCTGTGTTGTCCTATGGATCCCCTTTGCAATACACACCCCACAGGGTCTTATGGGAAGGTACTGTAGCCCATTCTGTTAACTAATTCAAAAAGAAGAAATAAAAGCCTTCTGGGGTCCAATTCAAGCATCATCACTTACTGTTCCATGACCTTACCCAACCAAATCAATCCTCCTAGATTCCAGTCTTTTCCTTCGAAGAGGGGGATAGTCATCATGGCTGATATATAGAGTATCTGTGATAAGGGATCTGTCCCCAGAGCTGATAAAGCAACACTTCATTCGGTATTAGTCATACTGGTAGCCACAGTGGTAGTTTTGATTTGAACTTGGAAAACTGCTTGTTCTCATAGGCAGGTATGTGACTGACTGATTGACTGTCACTTAAAAATAGTAATAGATCCTGTGTCCCTGTGTATGGGACAGGATCTATTACTATGAGCTGAAAAGTTGATGATTGCATGACAATTCCATGGTCACTGGGTCATCAGTCATTCACAGACATGGGTTGATTTTTTTTCTGCCTGGTCTGACACAGGTTGGTCTCTCACAGTGTCTTCCTCATATAAAAACAGGGTGAACATAAGGGGAGGATTATTTCTCCAAGACACCCCAAGGCCTCCTCCAGAGTGGTTAGCTCTCAGGGATGTGTGGAGCCTGACCATGCTGTCAGAAGGAAAGAACCTAACTAAGGAAGGGGTGTCCTGCTAACTTCTGGAATTGATCATTCCCTGTAAAGGAGCAACTCATTGCAGTGTATGCTGGACACTGTGTGTGTGAGCACTGGATTCTGTTAAGGTGCTGAGTGAGAAGGCAGGCTGGCTCATAAATGTCAGGTAAGATGATACGTTGTTTGCACTCTAGGGTGAAGGGCAGTGAGTGATATGCATGGGAAGAAAGATGGACACTTATAGACACTGGTGTCAAGTGGACATGATGGCTCAGAGGATAAAGGCATTGGTTACCAAATGCGATGACCTCACAAACTTTCATCTCTAGAACCCATATGGAGAAAACACAGGGTCAACTCAAGCAATGTGATAGTTTTTGGCTCTAATCTGAGCTTTTGAAACCTCAAAGCCCACCATCAGTGACATGCCTCCTCCAACAAAGTCACACCTCTAATTTTTGGTAAATAGTTCCACTAACTGGTGACCAAGAATTCAAATACATGACCCTATGGGGTCTGCTCTAATTCAAACCACCTAGAATTGCACTTTGATCTCCACACCCCCATGCTATAGTGAATATGTGTACATGCACATTTAATAAATGAAAACTGTTAAAAAACATTTAAAATGGCATGAATTTGCATATAACATAAGCACATACTCCAGCACATTTTAAGTAATTCCTAGAGTACAGAGAACCCAGTGCCATATACATGCTTGAAAATAGTTATTATGTTATACTATTTATGATGTAATGACAAGAAAAAACTACACATGTTCAGTGTGGGCAAGTTTTTATAATGTTTTTGATTTATGGCTGGTTGAATCTTCAGTCTAACATGCTCCCAACTGAGCTATTTCAACTTGCTGACTGGTTGAATCTTTAAATGTAGAGGCTGCCTGTAGAGGGCTCACTGCCGTGAGATTATGAAATGCTTTTGCCAAATATCTGAGCAATGAAGAAAGTATCATTTCTTGGTGCTCCCATTTTCAAGTCTGCCTGTGTGGTTCTTTTCTTCACCTTAATTTTATTTAAATAACTCTTGACTACATAAGTGATAGTCCCTGTCAATCCCCAAATGTCTAGTAGTATATAGACTATATACTCTATCACAGAATTTGCATTTTTCCTTCCTTCCTTTCTTCCCAATATCAATAGAAATATTAGTAATAAAGTTAAATAGAGAATGCTATTATACAGCGGGGCTTTGCTTCTGTTTACATGTGTCCTTTTTTAAGTGCATGGACTCATACATTCTTGCCATCTCTTTGTCATTCACCATAAAAAGTTCACATTCAGCCTTAACTTGGTTGACTCCAGTTCTGGGCCACTAGTGCCTACTACAATGTCAGTGCCTCTTACTCTCAGATGCTGAATGCAAATCCCAGAATCAACTTTTCCTCTTCCTCTGTGCCTGTTCAAATGCCCACCAAGTTCCTCCCTGTCCCGTGCTACCTTCTCGCCAGCAAGAACGACACGGCACACTTAGGATCCTTCTGCAGGACAGCTTTAATGCGTCTTGAGAGGGAGAGCATAAGCTTACAGAGCGGAGACCCCGGGGAGCGAAAAGCCCAACCCTTATATAGCTCAGCAGTCCCCGCCTCGGACGTGTCATCTCCTGACTGGCTCCTGCTCGTCAGCCCATATGACACCACGGGAGAGGCAGAGAGTAAGGGATGGAAAAGTACTAGGCACGTGTGCACCAAGGTTGTTTACTCCAACTGACAACGGGTGTCGGCGCCGTCTTGTAACGGAGAATGTGGGGGCGGCTCCCCACACCTCCCATTACCTCTTCTAAGTCAATCCATCATTGTGGAAGCAACAGCATTAGCTGGGCCTGCGACTTTAATAGTTAATGCAATCCCTGGGGACCTATGTCCTTTCTTCCTGGAACATCCACTTGGCTTCGACTAGGAGGTTGATCAATCAATGGAGGCCACAGGTGCCAATCTGGCCCACACTTTCCCCCACTCTCCAATGCTGCCTCCCTCCCTCGTCTTACTCTCTTTTCCAGCTGGCTGCTGACTGTTTCCTCACAGCATGCGGTTGCTATGGTTTCAGCCATCAACAAAAGGCAAATGTCTCATTTCTGTAGGAGGTTCCCAACTGGCTCCAAGATTCCTTTGCTATCATGAAGGCTCCTGTCAACAATAAGTTTTCTCTTTCTTCAATCCTACCAGAGAAACCACCACAGCCCCCAGAGATGGTTACCGAATCTTCTCCTCCAGGAACCCATGACAGATGGTGGTCTGGGGACTCTTTGTTTATCTCCACAACAATGATTAACTTGCTCCAAATCATTCAGATCCCTGTCAGCATCATGTGCCATGAAAACAACAGAACAGGTTGAAAATTGGGATAAGCATTCAATTGAAATGCTGCCAAGTTGATAGAAAGTCTTGCATTGTTATCTGATGGCTTCTTCCTGGTATAGTTGGTAACATAAACTTTTTTTTTTTTTTTGGTTTTTTGAGACAGGGTTTCTGTGTATTGTTTTGGAGCCTGTTCTGGAACTCATTCGATAAACCAGGCTTGGTCTTGAACTCACAGAGATCCACCTGCCTCTGCCTCCCGAGTGCGTGCTGGGATTAAAGGTGTGCACCACCACCGCCGGGCTGCTAACATGAACTCTTTAATTGAGTAGTTCACACTGTTGCAATAGAATACTAAACACATCTTTAAACTACTCACAATATGTTATTTAAAGAGCAAACTACAGCTATATAAACATTTAGAAATTATAAATTATATCAGAAAAATATGTCAGTGGTTGTATTACTGGGTTATTCAAGTTTTGTTGTAAGCTTTCATTGCTTCTCAGATTTTCAGCAGTAATTGTATTTTACCTGGTAATCATATTTTAAAGATTTATTTTTTAAAAAATTATGTGTGTATATGTATTTGTATATGGCAGCCCTGATCTGAAGAGGTGGGAATGAATTTCTTAGAGAGAAGATGCATGCATGAAGGGAGAGAAGGGAGCTACTTCCTCAAGACTGCAAAGTAGTCGGGCCACATGGTACACAAATTACTCTGCCTTTAGTGCTTTTGAACCCTGGGTGCTTCCAGGCAAAAAGTATCGGCCGGGTAAACTGAAGGGACCAGGGCCAGCTGCTCCCCCCGCCCCCCAGAGGCCAGTTTGCTAAAACCTCTGCCCCATATTACCTCACCATCCTATGCTGACTCATGTGTGGCTTCATTCAGACCCTCAGGAAGTACATCCAGTCCAGTAGCCAATCAAGGTCCTACCTGGCCACAAGCAGAAAAATTTCTGGCTATTTTCAATCAGACAGACCTGTGACACAGCAGACAGATGACTGCCAGTTACTGACCAGATGTCATGAGCCAGTCATAAAATGATTCCCCTATCAGCAAGGGTCTATACCCAATCACGTCAATGTGCACGTAACCGCCGCTGGAATTCCCCTAAGCAAGCTTAAAGGGAGCTGCCTAACCACCCCTCCACCCTCATGCCAGGGTCAAAGTCATTTTGTGTGGGCCCAAGCTGCTGGGTTTTTTTTGTTTTGTTTTGTTTTGTTTTGTTTTGTTTAGAATAAAGCTGCTCTCTGCAATTGTGTATCGGGTGTCTTCTGTTCATTTGGATCGTTCTAAGGACTCTACAAAAACCCGAGTTAAAACGTTGTGTCTACCTCCGACTTTAGGAACGCATAGACCTCCGTGTTTAAAGTTGGTATTGACAAATGTCTTTAGTCAAGGCCTGTCTTAGTCTCTGCTACTGTATGTAGTGGAGTGTCACCATCGGTATGCATAATGAAAATCCATTTATTTGGCTCATGATTCTGGAGGCTGAGAAGTCTAAGGTAGAGGGTTTGCATCTGGCATGCGTCTTCTTGAAATGTCTAACATTGCAGGTAGCATTTTATGGAGAGGTCATAGGAGAAAACAAGAGAGAACCAATTCCTCCTTTTGTTTTAGACTTAGTATTTTTAAAAATTGTATAGGCACATATATGTGTGTGGGAGTGCATGAATATGTGTATGCCACATATGTGAAGGTTCTGTGAAGTCTAGCAGGGGTGTCAGATCCCCTGGAATTAAAGATACAGGTGATTTGTGAGCCTGCTGGCACGGGTGCTGGGAACTGAACCCAGCCAGTGCTCTTAATTGCTGAGCCATCTCTCCAGCCCAGAATCTTGCTTTTGCAATCTCACTTTTTTCGATGTTGTGTACTTTTGTTTTGTTTTGCTTTTTTTATTTTACGACATTGTCTCATTACATTACACTGACTTGCCCCGAACTCGTACTCACAAAAATTGATTTCATTTTTTTATACTCCAGCGGATTTAAGTATATACTTCCCCTTACACAAATTACATGAGTTCCCCAGAGTTGCTTGTAAGTTGGAAATCATAATCCAAATAGTAAAATCAATAAATATACTGGAGAATTCAGTATCTTCTATCAAGCAAGGCAGTGATTGCAGCAAGAGTATTTCTACTGAAATGTTGCAAGTGACTTGTAATAACAAAGGGTTCCGAGGCTTGTTGCTTTGCTTTATTGTTGCTCTTTTGTCTGTGGCCATGGTCGTTGGTTGCAACTGTCTGTTGGATGCATCTGGATGTTATAGATTGGGGAATGTCAATGCTATCTGCCAGTGTTGGGACGCTCTGGGGCAGCAGTCCTCAGCATGGGACCTATAGAGAAGAAGCATCATCAGAATCCCTGGGATCTTAGACATCCCTCTGGACCTACTGAAATAGCAGCTCCAGGCTGGGCCTGACAGACTCTGGTTTAGCAAGGCCTCCAGGCAATTGTGAGTCTTGTCCAAGAACTGCCTGATCTTTGCACTCAGTACATGTGGTGCTGGGAGATGGCTAAGACTTGACCTCTGAAGTCCAGTCTTTTCACACCTTAGCCTCTGGGGGCAAAAGGGATGGTCATTTCCTTACTCACAGTCTATCTCCCCAGATGTGTGAAAGCATGACACCAGGTCCTAACAGCCAAGGCTTCCTTCAGCGTTCATGATTGGTGACACCTTTATCCACAACAAAACATTTATCAGTTATTAATTCACTAACACTTTGGAACTCTCTAGAAGGAAAGGGCTTTGGGATCTTTGCAGGAGAAGTCAGAAATGAGAACACAGCATGAGTGTTGTTTTGTTTGCAAGTTGGTGTTGTTGGCAGACAAGAACCTTTGGGATTTCTCTGGCTCTGGGAAGCACAGCAGGCCCATTTGGAGGGAATATTCTTGAGAGATGCTGTTAAGGCTAACACAAACTGCAGCATCTTCATGCTGTTAGGACTAACACAAACTGCAGCATCTTCATGCTGAGGAACTCATTTCCAGCATGTGTTATATGAAACTGAAATGTTACAAGTAACAATAAGTAACATGTGTAAGCTTTGGGAATACTGATTCCTGTGTTGTTTTGTAAAATTATACCTAGAGGTTTATGTTTAATATTCTTGCAGAGGGCATGCTTCAATATTTAAAACCAAAACTAGCATGCTTACATTGTGTTGTTAAATGATCTTTATGAGTATATTAAATACCTGCAAATTTATGAATTATCTATTGGATGTAGATTTGTTGAGGCTCTTTGCAAACCTGCAGGTGTGAAGCCAGGTGAGCCAAGTCAGCTGATGTCACCAGTAATGTGTTAAAAGTCATTAGAATGTCTCCTCTCGAAGGTCCATGCTTGGATCAGACCTATGACTATTGCATACTCTTCTCCCTTCACATAGCCTAGTGGTCAGTTCAGGTTGGCAAGAGGGCATGTGTAAACATCCATGTCATCTATCCAACCTCAATTCAAAGTGCATAGTTGCCTAGTATGGTGACTTACACTTGTGTTCCCAATACTCAGGGATGAAGCAGGAAGACTGCATATCTATAGCCAGCTAAGGGATGAGTTCCAGGATAGCCTTGGTTATGTAATGAAACTGTAGAAAAGACAGAGAGAGAAATAGAGACTCCTGCAGTATTAGCTTCATAAATGTTTAGCTCAACTGAATGACCTTTTCTTATATACATTACAAATATATATCTTTCTTCTCAAATGAAGGTGAGACAGCAGTTAAGATTTATCTATCTGGGCCGGGCGGTGGTGGCCCACGCCTTTAATCCCAGCACTCTGGAGGCAAAGGCAGGCGGATCTCTGTGAGTTTGAGGCCGGGCTGAACCCACAGCCTCCAAAACAATACAGAGAAACCCTGTCTCGTAAAAACCAAAAAAAAAAAAAAAAAAAGATTTATCTATCTGGAGTTTGAGACCAACCTAGTTTACATAACATGACCCATCTTAAAAGAAAATAAAACCAAACTAAAAAACAAACAAACAAAAGCTTTCTTCATCTGGACTGTGCATACTGATACAGTACATGAGGCCCTGGGTCTGATTTCAAACATCATAAGACAGACAGACAGACAGACAGACAGACAGACAGACAGACAGACAGACAGACAGGCAGGCAGGCAGACAGGCAGGCAGGCAGACAGACAGAGACAGAGACTTCTTTAAAAAAAAAACTTAGAAGAAAATCAACATTAGA